TATAGTGAATGACAGGGTCGGTCTGGGAGACCAGATATAGTAAAGCAGGGGTCCTGGCAGACCAGATATTAGTGAATGCAGTTCCCGGGGAGACCAGATATAGTGAATGCAGGGTCCGGGGAGAACCAGATAGTATAGTGAATGCAGGGTCCTGGAGACCGATATAGTGAATGCAGGGTCCGAGACCAGATATAGTGAATGCAGGGTCCTGGGAGACCAGATATAGTGAATGCAGGCCCTGGGAGACCAAATATCTGAATGGGTCCTGGAGACCGGATATAGTGAATGCAGGGTCCCTGGGAGACCAGATATAGTGAATGCAGGGTCCTGGGAGACCAGATATAGTGAATGCAGGTCCTGGGAGACCAGATATATAGTGAATGCAGGGTCCTGGGAGACCGGATATAGTGAATGCAGGGTCTGGAGGAGACCAGATATAGTAAATGCAAGGGTTCGGGCAGACCAGATATAGTGAATGCAGGTTCCGGGGAGACCAGATATTAGTAAATGCAGGGTCCTGGGAGACCAGATATAGTGAATGCAGGGTCTGGGAGACCAGATATAGTAAATGCAGGGTCCAGGCAGACCAGATATAGTGAATGCAGGTTCCTGGGGAGACCAGATATAGGAATGCAGGGTCCGGGGAGACCAGATATAGTGAATGCAGGGGTCCTGGGAGACCAGATATAGTAGTGAATGCAGGGTCCTGGGAGACCAGATATAGTGAATGCAGGGTCCGGGAGACCGGATATAAAGCAGGTGAATGCAGGGTCCTGGGAGACCAGATATAGTGAATGCAGGGTCCTGGGAGACCAGATATAGTGAATGCAGGGTCCTGGAGAGACCAGATATAGTGAATGCAGGTTCCTGGGAGACCGGATATAGTGAAATGCAGGGTCTGGGGAGACCGGATATAGTAAATGCAGGGTCCGGCAGACCAGATATAGTGAATGCAGGTTCCGTGGAGACCAGATATAGTAAATGCAGGGTCCGGATATAGTGAATGCAGACCAGATATAGTGATGAATGCAGGGTCCGGGGAGACCAGATATAGTGAATGCAGGGTCCGGGAAGACAGATATTAGTGAAAAGCAGGGTTTCCTGGGAGACCGGATATAGTGAATGCAGGGTATAGTAAATGCTGGGGCAGACCGGATATAGTGAATGCAGGGTCCGGGGAGACCGGATATAGTGAATGCAGGGTCCTGGGAGACCGGATATAGTGAATGCAGGGTCCTGGGAGACCGGATATAGTGAATGCAGGGCTCCGGGAGACCCGGATATAGTGAATGCAGGGTCCTGGGAGACCGGATATATGGTGAATGCCAGGGTCTGGGGAGACCGGATATAGTGAATGCAGGGTCCTGGGAGACCGGATATAGAATGCAGGGTCCCTGGGAGACCGGATATAGTGAATGCAGGGTGGCGGGGAGACCGTAGCTGATCAATAGTGAATGCAGGGCCCGGGAGAAATAGACCGGGAGATATAGGAATGAATGAATGGGTCAGAGGGAGACCAGATATAGTAAAATGCAGGGTCCTGGGAGACCAGATTATAGTGAATGCAGGTCCTGGGGAGACCAGATATAGTAAATGCAGGTTCCAGGCAGACCAGATATAGTGAATGCAGGTTCCGGGGAGACCAATATAGTGAATGCAGGGTCCCGGGGAGACCAGATATAGTGAATGCAGGGTCCTGGGAGACCAGATATAGTGAATGCAGGGTCCTGGAGGACCAGATATAGTGAATGCAGGGTCCGGGGAGACCGGATATAGTGAATGCAGGGTCCTGAAAGACCAGATATAGTGAATGCAGGGTCCTGGGAGACCGGATATAGTGAATGCAGGGTCCAGGGAGACCGGATATAGTGAATGCAGGGTCCTGGGAGACCGGATATAGTGAATGCAGGGTCCTGGAGACCGGATATAGTAAATGCAGGGTTCGGCAGACCCCAGATATAGTGAATGCAGGTTCCGAGGAGACCAGATATAGTAAATGCAATGGTCCGGGCAGACCAGCAATAGTGAATGCAGGGTCCGGGGAGACCGGATATAGTGAATATGCAGGGTCCTGGGCAGACCGGATATAGTGAATGCCGAGGGTCCGGGGAGACCGGATATAGTGAATGCAGGTCCTGGAGACCGGATATCTAGTGAATGCAGGGTTCGGGCAGACCAGATATAGTGAATGCAGGTTCCGGGGAGACCAGATATAGTAAATGCAGGGTCCGGGCAGACCAGAATATAGTGAAATGCAGGTCCGGGGAGACCAGATATAGTCGAGAATGCAGGTTCCGGGGAGACCAGATATAGTAAATGCAGGGTCCGGGGAGACCAGATATAGTGAATTGCAGGGTCCAGGGAGACCGGATATAGTGAATGCAGGGTCCTGGAAGACCGGATATAGTGAATGCAGGGTCCTGGAGACCGATATAGTGAATGCAGGGTCCGGGGAGACCGGATATAGTGAATGCAGGGTCCTGGGAGACCGGATATAGTGAATGCAGGGTCCTGGAGTACCGGATAATAGTAAATGCAGGGTCCGGGAGACCGGATATAGTGAATGCAGGGTCCTGGAGACCGGATATAGTGAATGCAGGGTCTGGGGAAGACCGATATAGTGAAGCAGGGTCCTAGGAGACCGGATATAGTGAATGCAGAGTCCGGGGAGAACCGGATATAGTGAATGCAGGGCCCGGGGAGACCGGATATAGTGAATGAAGGTCCGGGGAGACCAGATATAGTAAATGCAGGGGATCTGGGGAGACCAGATATAGTGAATGCAGGGTCTGGGGAGACCAGATATATCAGTAAATGCAGGGTCCAGGCAGACCAAGATATAGTGAATGCAGGGTCCTGGGAGACCGATATAGTGAATTGCAGGGTCCGGGGAGACCGGATATAGTGAATGCAGGTGTTCCTGGGAGCCGGATATAGTGAATGCAGGGTTCGGGGGGGGGGGGGAGCGAGACCAGATATAGTGAATGCAGGTCCCGGGGAGACCAGAGTATATAGTAAATGCAGGGTCCGGGCAGACCCCAGATATAGTGAATGCAGGGTCCGGGGAGACCAGATATAGTGAATGCAGGATTACCGGGGAGACCAGATATAGTAAATGCAGGGTCCGGGGAGACCAGATATAGTGGAATGCAGGGTCCAGGGAGACCGGATATAGTGAAATGCAGGGGTCCTGAAGACCGGATTAGTAGTGAATGCAGGGTCCTGGGAGACCGGATATAGTGAATGCAGGGTCCGGGGAGACGGATATAGTGAATGCAGGGTCCTGGGAGACCGGATATAGTGAATGCAGGGGTCCTGGGAGACCGGATATAGTGAATGCAGGGTCCGGGGAGACCGGATATAGTGAATGCAGGGTCCTGGGAGACCGATATAGTGAATGCAGGTCTGGGGAACCGGATATATGTGAATGCAGGGTCCTGGGAGACCGGATATAGTGAATGCAGAGTCCGGGGAGACCGGATATAGTGAATGCAGGTTCCGGGGAGACCAGATATAGTAAATGCAGGGTCCGGGCAGACCAGATATAGTGAATGCAGGGTCCGGGGAGACCAGATATAGTGATGCAGGGTCCTGGGCAGACCGGATATAGTGAATGCAGGGTCCTGGGGAGACCGGATATAGTGAAATGCAGGGTCCTGGGAGACCGATATAGTGAATGCAGGGTCGGTGCGAGACCGGATATAGTGAATGCAGGGTCCTGGAGACGGATATAGTGAATGCAGGGTCCTGGGAGACCGATATAGTGAATGCAGGGTCCTCGGGAGACCGATATAGTGAATACAGGGTCCTGGGAGACCGGATATAGTGAATGCAGGGTCTGGGAGACCGGATATAGTGAATGCAGGGTCCTGGGAGACCGGATATAGTGAATGCAGGGTCCGGGGGAGAGACCGGGATATAGTGAATGCAGGGCCCGGGGAGACCGGATATAGTGAATGAAGGGTCAGGGGAGACCAGAGATATAGTAAATGCAGGGTCCTGGGAGACCAGATATAGTGAATGCAGGGTCTGGGGAGACCAGATATAGTAAATGCAGGGTCCAGGCAGACCAGATATAGTGAATGCAGGTTCCGGGGAGACCAGATATAGTGAATGCAGGGTATCCGGGGAGACCAGATATAGTGAATGCAGGGTCCTGGGAGACCAGATATAGTGAATGCAGGGTCCTGGGAGACCAGATATAGTGAATGCAGGGTCCGGGGAGACCGGATATAGTGAATGCAGGGTCCTGGGAGACCAGATATAGTGAATGCAGGGTCCTGGGAGACCGGATATAGTGAATGCAGGGTCCTGGGAGACCAGATATAGTGAATGCAGGGTCCTGGGAGACCGGATATAGTGAATGCAGGGTCTGGGAGACCAGATATAGTAAATGCAGGGTTCGGGCAGACCAGATATAGTGAATGCAGGTTCCGGGAGACCAGATATAGTAAATGCAGGGTTCGGGCAGACCAGATATAGTGAATGCAGGGTCCGGGAGACCAGATATAGTGAATGCAGGGTCCGGGGAGACCAGATATAGTGAAAGCAGGGTCCTGGGAGACCGGATATAGTGAATGCAGGGTCCTGGGAGACCGGATATAGTGAATGCAGGGTCCGGTGAGACCGGATATAGTGAATGCAGGGTCCTGGGAGACCGGATATAGTGAATGCAGGGTCCTGGGAGACCGGATATAGTGAATGCAGGGTCCGGGGAGACCGGATATAGTGAATGCAGGGTCCTGGGAGACCGGATATAGTGAATGCAGGGTCTGGGGAGACCGGATATAGTGAATGCAGGGTCCTGGGAGACCGGATATAGTGAATGCAGGGTCCGGGGAGACCGGATATAGTGAATGCAGGGCCCGGGGAGAGACCGATATAGTGAATGAAGGGTCAGGGGAGACCAGATATAGTAAATGCAGGGTCCTGAGAGACCAGATATAGTGAATGCAGGGTCTGGGGAGACCAGATATAGTAAATGCAGGGTCCAGGCAGACCAGATATAGTGAATGCAGGTTCCGGGGAGACCAGATATAGTGAATGCAGGGTCCGGGAGACCAGATATAGTGAATGCAGGGTCCTGGGAGACCAGATATAGTGAATGCAGGGTCCGGGGAGACGGATATAGTGAATGCAGGGTCCTGAAAGACCAGATATAGTGAATGCAGGGTCCTGGGAGACCGGATATAGTGAATGCAGGGTCCGGGGAGACCGGATATAGTGAATGCAGGGTCCTGGGAGACCAGATATAGTGAATGCAGGGTCCTGGGAGACCGGATATAGTGAATGCAGGGTCTGGGGAGACCACATATAGTGAATGCAGGGTCCTGGGTGTAGTAACACTTTAAGCTATGACAATAAAAAAAAACCCTGGAAGCTGGCTGGTTTCTATGCAGACTTGCACCAGATTTGCGCTCTCCAGTTTTAGTAAATCAATCACTATACATTCCCTTAAAAGGGAACGATCTAAACACCTTACTATAGTAATGCATTGATTGGGGTTTTTAATATTTTCTTTAACCATTTGCACTCTAAGGTGACAGGTACACTTTAATTGCAAAGCAGTGTAAGCAGCTTCAAAGTATAGGTATTATTATGTGATTTATCTCTAATATTAGAAAGTTTGATGATATAAATGGCACTGGTAGATGTAGTGTTTAATAGTAGAGTCTCAGCACCCCCTCCCAAGCTTTATACACCTTAATAAGTAGAGAAGTGGGACCTGCCCACCATTCAGGACGGTACAGAATGAACACAGTCAGCGGTGTGATTACAATGTGCTATTCAGGGGTCATTGCTAGCTGTGTTCCATTAACATGCTAGATTAGAAGTAATTGGTGCAGTCATAATCATCTGAATTGTTCCTATTATTAATGAAACCTGACTCACTTAAAGTGTTACTAAACCCACAACAGTACAATCAGTCTGTATATGCAGTAAAGCATGCTTGTTATACTCACTGTGGAACCTAAGGAGTTAATCCTTTGCATTATTTAAAAAAAGCTGTTTGATCCTATCTTCTCTGATCCTCCCCTTCTTCCACAGTCCCCAATCAATCTGCTTATAGTACACAGCACACTGCACATCCTTAGTTTGGTGTGTCTTGCAAGAGTGGTTTTTTTTTTTTGTTTTTTGTTTTTTTTGGAGGGGGGGTGTACATGTGATCAGCACAGGGCCAATCAGCACTGTCCAGACAGAGGATCTGTGGTCATGCAGCCTCATAAGACAGTCAGAAGAGAGTGAAAACTCCTACAAGCTTTAAACCAGTGATGGGCCAGACACTGATAGAAGTCACAAGACTGCTATATACTGCTGATGAGAAAATGTATTTAGCAGTTTATATTTACTAAGATAATTGCATTTCCATATTCTGTGTACTGTGGGAGACCAGATATAGTGAATGCACGGCCGGGAGACCAGATATAGTGAATACAGGGTCCGGGAGACCATATATAGTGAATGCAGGGTCCTGGAAGACCAGATATATAGTGAACCAGATATAGCAGGGTCCTGGAAGACCAGATATAGTGAATGCGGGGTCCGGGGAGACCGGATATAGTGATTGTAGGGTCCGGGGAGACCAGATACAATGAATGCAGAGTCCGTGGAGACCAGATAGTGAATGCAGGGTCCGGGGAGACCAGATATAGTGAATGCAGGGTCCTGGAAGACCTGATATAGTGAATGCAGGGTCCGGGGAGACCGGATATAGTGATTGTAGGGTCCGGGGAGACCAGATACAGTGAATGCAGAGTCCGTGGAGACCAGATAGTGAATGCAGGGTCCGGGGAGACCAGATATAGTGAATGCAGGGTCCGGGGAAACCAGATACAGTGAATGCAGAGTCCGTGGAGACCAGATAGTGAATGCAGGGTTCGGGGAGACCAGATATAGTGAATGCAGGGTCCGGGGAGACCAGATATAGTGAATGCAGGGTCCGGGGAGACCAGATATAGTGAGTGCAGGGTCCAGGGAGACCAGATATAGTGAATGCAGGGTCCGGGGAGACCAGATATAGTGAATGCAGGGTCCTGGGTTTAGTAACGCTTTAAATGTTTTTGCCCTAAAAACATCAGATGACCTCTCCCCTTTAAAAAAAGCTTTGTTACTCGGTGCGGAGTGTGCTCACTCGTCTGCCCTTGGCTCACAAGTGGTGAGATTTGGACCACTCATACTCATACCTCTGTATGGACTTTCAGTTAGAAAGCTGGAGGGAGTGTGAATGGATTACATGTGTGCTGATTACAGCACTCAGAGCCCATTGAGAAATAAAGTGCATCTGCCGTGGTGACAGACGGGACTTGTAATGTCTTCATTCAAAGATCTCTGTGAATGAATGATGGGCTGTGTGGGCTCTGCCTGCACAACTGTGCCGATTTTTAATTTCTGTGGAAGAGGAGACCCATGGCATTCTGTCATGAGGGAGGGCTCAGGGGTTGGGGGGGTGCATAAGAACATGTTACATGTCACACCATAAATATGGGTTTAATATGTCAATTCCTCCAAATGAAGAACATAGCCTTTAATCATCTTATACGCCCTAATTCTGGAACTCACACAGTCTACATACATTCCGAGATTCAATCCTCCAATCCTTATGTCACCGCAGGAGGTGTAAAGGCTGGAGCCACAGAATGCAGCAGGGGGCCAGATATTCAATATTCCAGTGTGCTCTACAGCACATGTGGAGCGTCATCAAGGGCCAATTGTCTCATCTTTCTTATTGCAGTTGGACTGCTAATGACGCAGCCATGCACTCCCATCAGTGGGCCAGCTGCAAGAACCCCCGAAGAAAACAACTGGTTCCTGATGATGTCAGCAGAGAAGATGGCAGCATGAGACCAGGTATGTAGCAGCAGATTATTTGAGAACACTGCTGGATTCACAGACATACACGTATGTTAACCCAGTAAGAAAGATAAGAAGAGAAAAAAACATTGAAGGGGGGTGCTTTCTTTCACTTCCTTATCTGGTGATCCAGTCAATAAATCTGTTGTTTTTCAAAAGAACAAGCTCTCTTCCAGATCAGTCTCAGCTTACAGGGATGAGACAAACCATGTAACACTGGCAGGGGTGCTTACAATGATCAGCTTTTATTTATTCATGTAAAACCTTTATTCTAAAAAGGAAAAACTGTTAACTTTAGGACTTTAGGCCCCATGCACACAGGACATTTTTCTTTCTTTTTTTTTTTTAAACCATTAACTTTTATTCCGAAAGAAAAATCAGAACATATGAACAAGAATGAGCTACCAGAAAGTATAGCATATTATCATATCATGTAATACACAGTTTACAAATTAGTTTCGGAGAAAACTCAGTAGTATAATCAAAACATTAGGAAGCATTCACATAGTAAAACGTTTACAATTTGCTGGTACAATCAAGTCTGATAGAAAGAAAAGTAAGAACGGAGGAAAATGAAAAGCTAGGAAAGAAAGCAAGAAAATAGCATAAGTAAGGACAGATCCATCTCCGCAAGAGATGCCCAGAAATCACCAAGGACGTTTCTCTAAACACCCCTCCATGTTAGCCTATGTGTCCATGCACATACAGTATATGCAATTAGTGGGAGGAGCTTTTAGAGGCAGGAAAAAAAATCACTGCCAGTGCATCCAGAAGCAGAGTTTGGCCAGAAAAAAAACGTTTGAAGCTACCGAAAGCTGCTAGAAGCTTCTAAAAGCTGCTAAACGTGCTTAATCATTACTGCATCTCAATGACCAGATTAACTACTTGCCGACTGCAGATAGCCGAATGGCGGCTACACTGCAGCTGGCCAGTTCTGGGTGGGCGTCATATGACGTCCTCCCAGAACGCGCTCTCCCGCGCGCCCCCCCGGGGGTGTGCACCCGGCGATCTCCGTGATTGCTGTGTCCTACGGACACAGCTGATCACATGATGTGGTAAAAGGCCAATCACAGCGGCCTTTTACCACGTGATCAGCCATGTCCAAAGACACGCTGATCACCGGGAAATGCAATTGCCGGTTCTTGGCTGCACTTTCCTCATGCTGTCAGATCGTGAGGAAAGTACTGCCGAGAACCGGCAGTTGTTAGAGCGAGGATCGGCACCGATCATCAGGGCACTGATGATCGGTGCCCAGCAGTGCCACCCACAAGTTCGCCCACCTGTGCCCAGCAGTGTGCCCACTAACTCCGCCCACTTGTGCCCAGCAATGCACCCACCTGTGCCCAGCAGTGCACCCACCTGTGCCACCCAGCAGTGTCACACACCTGTGCCCAGAAGTGCCACCCACCTGTGCCCAACCACCTGTGCCCACCAGTGCCACCCACCTGTGCCCATCAGTGCAGCCCAGCAGTCCTGCCAGTCAGTGCCACCAGTCAGTGCCCAGAGGTTGTGGCAGTCAGTACCCAGCAGTGCCGCCAGTCAGTGCCCAGCAGTGATGCCCGTCAGTGCCACCTATCAGTGCTGTCTATCAGTACCCATCATCAGCGTCGCCTATCAGTGCCACCTCAGTGCCGCATATCAGTGCTGCCTATCCGTGACACCTCATCAGTGCCGCCTATCCGTGACACCTCATTAGTGCTGCCTATCAGTGCCCATCAGTGCTGCCTATCAGTGCCCATCAGTGCTGCCTATTAGTGCCCATCAGTGCTACCTCATCAACGCACATCAGTGAAGGAGAAAAATTACCTGTTTGAAAGATTTTCTAATAGAAACAAAGAAACTTTTTTTTTTCAAAATGTTTGCAGTTTTTTTGTTTATAGCGCAAAAAGTAAAGCGCCCAGCTGTGATTAAATACCACAAAAAGAAAGCTCTATTTGTGAGAAAAAAATGATAAAAATTTCATATGGGTACAATCTTTCATGACCGCGCAATTGTCATTCAAAGTGCGACAGCACTGAAAGCTGAAAATTGGCCTGTAAAGAAGGGGGTATAAGTGCCCGATGGGCAAGTGGTTAAATTATTTATTCTGGCTAATGAAATGAATTAACAATAAAGAGCTTGACGCCTGTAAAAGCTTGTAAAATCTTGAAACACTTTTACAAGCGTCAGTCATTTTTACTGCAAAAAAAGCTGTTGGTTTCTAGGAGAGTTAAACAAGCGTCCTGTGTGCATGAGGACTTGAATGATTGTAGCCCGGTGCTGGACATACCTTGCTTTCAAATGCGTCTGGTTTGCTGCCATCAATAAATTGCTGTGCTGTTGCTATATTCTCTTCCAGCCAGCAGGGGGAGAGCAAGTCACCCTAAGCCCAAAGACTGATACAAAGCACTTGGGGTACTGGGAAACGGGCAGACTGACCATTTGGAAACTCGGGCACTGCCCGAGGGCCCGGGGTCAGTAGGGGGCCCCATGAGATGCCCCTGGTACCTTTTTCATAGGCTTTTTTGAGTTTGGGCAAGGACACAGGGGCCCCAAGATCCCCTGTTTCCCGGGGGCCCCATGAGTTGTCAGTCCGCCCCTGCTGGGAAATATAGTCCAATATGGACAGCCACTTTGAACTACAAATCCCTAAGGCCTGTGCAGCAGGAAGATCCAAGGGGAGCATTTATATTCTGTTCCCCGGAAAGCCTGCTTTCTTGGCATCTCAGTTCAGACCTGTTGGAGTAAGCAGAGTGGGAGAGAGACCTAAACGGTCAGAGGGGCTGGAGCACTTTGGTGCAATCCACTGACTGATACAGTTACTGTGAGATCCTTACAGCTTCCATATATGCTGTGTTGCCTACAGCTTAGAGCCCTGACAATTCTCCAGACCAGCTGAGCTGTCAAGTGGGTTACCATTATCACAGACACCATCTCAGTACCTGTGCACAAGAGGGCCCCCATTCCACAGAAGTTCCAGGTGTCTCTTGAGGAGTTCTCTGGCGTCTGTGCTATCTTTGACAACAACGTATCCATTACTCTCTGTGACAAACGTGGTGCCAGACCATTGCCCTTTTCACCAACCTGTGACAAAAGACTAGTCAACCTCACACCGCGCTGTCACTTAACAATGCCACTTTCAGCCCCCCCTGCACAAAGGGTGACAGAACTGAAGGATTCTGTTATAGTTGTACTATAGGTCATTTCCATTCCCCTAAGGAAAGTGATAAGCTGTAGGAGTTGATTGCATGCAAACCCTGCCAGATCTCCAGCCTAAGTGAAGATAACAGGTTATTTGAAGACCCAGACCCTTGTTTACTCGAGGCACCTATAGCTATGTTGGGGGGAGAGGCATGAGAGCTGCTGGAAAAAAACTATAAAAAATGTCATGGCTGGTTTTTTTGGGGTGCTGAACAACATGGCCACAAGACACAGCTATTCATGTGCCCAGTACGTGATATCGTTACACACTCCCCTAAGAAGCAGCCACAGCATGGCCTGCTTAGTGCCCCCTTGGGCTAATGTGGGCAGGCACTGCTCAGTAACAAGAGCTCACAACAAATTTCAACTGACTTCAGAACCCAACTTACATCCTTAGTGCACCAACAGTTGTCCACAGGGCCCCAACATTAGCCGGCAAAGACGCACTTTAGAGACGGTTAGCTTAGTTGTATTTGCTTATACTAGGTTGATTTATGTCATTCTCTTCTGCTTAAGGCCCTTTTTCTAGTCTACGCTTAGCATTGTCACTGTCTAGGCATGCAGGCAATATAATACCCATTTCCCTTCTCAACCTCCAAATAGTCTCTTCTCCGTCATCCTCTTTGCCTGCCAGTAATCAGGGTGGTACTGCTAGACCACCAGGGTAACTATCTGCATACAAATGGTGTGTTTCCTGCTCTTCCATAACTTTTGCTCTCCCAAAGTGCTGAATTGGGTAATGGTGATAGACTTTGACTGCATTTGTTTAACAACCACTTTGATAATTAATAACCAATTAGTTAATTCCATGTCTCTTTTTGTAGTAGTTGGATACAGTGTGAGGAATCTGTCTGTGTGTTTTTTCAATCTACTATGTAAAGAGAGTGGAAACAAGGCCGGGTTTGTCAGTAGGGTAGA